TAAGGTCCACACGCAAATCGCAAGTGCTCGAGCCTCCTTGGGGAAGCCTGGCCAGAATGGAACAAAAACGTGTCATGCATTGGAATGGATGAATGTCGAGGACGGCATCTCATGACAAACTCACATGCAAACCTACTTGCCTGAACTCCCTCGGCATCAAGTGCTACCTGCCTAAGGATGACCAGCATGATCTTCAGAATACTTGATTGTCATAGGGGTCACGAAAAATTTTAGTCATATTGCGGTTTCCTGCGTTGATTCTAGATGTTCTTTTCTGCCTTCAGGATCACGAATGAGGTTGCTACTGGAGGCTTGCCTTGCCTCGGATGGTGCTGAAACGCCGCTGTGCAGGGCGCCTGCAAACTGGACTTGAGACAAACACCTCAAGTGTGCATGGAGTTAGAGTATTCCTGAACATGCAGACGTGTCCAAACAGAACTGCCTACAAAAGACTGACTGCTCCACATGGAACTGCAACAAAGACTGCCGAAACTTGTGTAATAGCTTGAGCTGCCACAGTTCCCGAAATGTTGCGTCAACATCCTACTTTTGTAGCTGCGGACCTGCAACAACATAAGCTCACACATTGCATGGGCTCTTGCATCATTCACTCGCTTCCAGAATTGCGAGGCAACAGACTTGAACTGAGATAAGAAAACTGGAAAGGCACCACGCTAGACTCTACTTCGTTGAGCACTAAATCCCACAAAACCCTAAATAGTAGTTTCCGTGTTATTTTCCATTATCCCAATATAACCCCTATATAACCCCTATGTAATATAATAGTTTCCATTTTTTCCATTATCCCAACATAACCCCAACATGACCCCTATAAACCCTAATACTGCAGCTCACTCCGCGCCTGTAGAACCACATCAGCACGGCCCGCAGCCGTGCTCTGCTACTCTGCTTTGCATGCAGATCGAGATGAGCCACAAAGCAAGAGGTATTCGAACAATGGAAACTACTGTAATATATTAGGGTGGAAACTACGAATCTGTAGCAGCGCTTTCTGATGCAACACATGACATATGTCAGTCGTTTCTCACACGGAGCTCGACAGAGAAGGTCGACTCGCCTGAGAGCTAAGTTCATTTGCAGAGCGCCATGCTCTGAGGCACTACAGCAGGCCAGCTCCAGCAGCAGGCACCATGAGGCTATGATACAGGCCCAGGTGCCCAAAGCAAAGGACACCTGCTCAATCCTGGTTAGTGGGTACACTCAAGGGCACCTGGGAATTTTGCAAAGGCGCCATTTTTGCGCCCTTGCTCTGCACGCGCAAGGAAGAGAGCCATCATGGTGTCAACTGCACAACTCTGGGCTTTGTTGGGAGCATCTTAGTTCTTAGTGTCGGTGGGTGGCTTGTCAGAGGATTTGACATTGGCAAAATTAAGTAAGATCCCGGCGATGTCCTTGAAACCAAGATTCCTACCTCGAGACCCAACACTTGACGGACGTGTAGGGAAACGAAGGACAAGCCCTAATGTATAAACCTAATCTTCGAGCAGGATTCACAGCCTCCAGTCTCTTCGAAACTTTTCCTATGAACATTGCAGAGTTGAGGACCGTAATACTTATCCTTGAAGCTTCGAATCCAGTGCACAAACGAATATATAGCACAAGGAGGGACGTCTTCCTGCAACAACTAATTACCAAAGTCGCATACCAGAAGCGCAGTTTCGACACCTATGATGCTCGCTCCGCAGCCTTGTCCGCTGGGCTCAGGGACCGCTGCCTGGCGATCTGGGCTCCAAGCCACACGTTTTCAAGTTTTGGGGGAACACCCAAAAAAAAACGAAAGGATGCTTTTCGACAAACCCGCTCAAAGTTTGGGGAACTCTGCACGGATGGTGGACCAGCGGACGTCTGCAGTAAGGGGCTGCTGGCTATCCCCAAAAGACGAGGATCCCGGCTAGAGGGACGCCTCCAGTCCGAACCCAAACTGGGCAAGTTGATGGGCTTGAATCCCTGGCTCTGCACATCCCAGTAGCCTCATGAATATCAGTGCTCTGGGCAGTACTGCTAATCATCACAATCCTCATCACCAGCACCTGCAGCACCAACACCAACGCCGACACCAGCTGCACAGCAGCAAGTCAGGGGGAGAATAATGAAAGCAACGACAGTAACCATCATCATGGTACCAATGGATCTTCACCAAAATAACAAGAGCAGGCCGAACAGTGACCGACATGGCGAAAAAAGGACCGGGGCGGCACCACTCTTCAACAGACTGAACCGTAGCACGAGCATGATGGTAGTAGCAATAATGTGACAACCCTTCCGATGCTAGTACCAAAACATATGCTCAAAAACTAAACCCCCTCACGTACACAGCTTAACAATCCCGTCCTTTGCGGAACCGAAAATACGGGGAACCACTTTTCAGGAAAGACCACTCTTAACCTCTACGACGCGTAAACCCTTAACCCTTTCAATCCCTAAAGCCCTGCAAGCCCCAGAACCCTAAACCTCCGAACCTCTCCATAGTAGTTTCCAATTTCATTTCCATTATCCCTACATGACCCCTATCATATCCCCATTTAACCCCTTATATGTAATCCACATATTACCCTAATATCTCAACACTAAACCCTAAACTTATTACCCTGTAGCCTCCCAATCTGCAACTACTTCTGCGGCTGCGCCTCCGACCCTGAAGCTCCGCGATTTGGGCCCGGAGCCTTTCGGCCACCACGGGAGCTTTGGGCTCCTGGAGCTGAGCCTGGAAAAAGTTTCAGGGTTTAGGGCTTAGGATCCCCTCCCCGCAACATGGGCTACGTGGAGATATACAGGGGAATGGACAAGACAATGGGGACTCCCATAATACTTAGGGGTTTAGGGCTCATAATAAACCACCCCACCCCGGTTTAGGGCTTGGGATGAAGAGGCAAACCCTAAACCCTGAACCCTATATAACCCATGATATTAGTTTCCATGTAATTTTCCATTATAAGGTCCCCATAGGGGCTGTTTAAGGGGCCTCCTAGTACCCTCAATCGGGGATATGGGGAGTTTCCCAAAATCATAGGTACCTTTTTGGGGCCCCTACAATACGGATTGTAATATGTTGGGTTGATATTGGGTCCCCCTTTTTGGGAAAACTACCATATATGTTCCCTAAACTTCGTACTTAAGCGTGTGGGTTTAAGGAGTGCAGCCTTTGCAAGGCCTAGGCCCTTTGGGGGCCGGGGATCGGAAGGCATCCCTGCAGCCCATCCCCACGCCCCTCAGACATTCCATTGGCCCCTATAAGCCGCTACAGAATCCCATGTTCCATTTCGTGTTCCATGTTCTTCTCCATTTGATTCTCCACTCTTGGAGTAATATCCCTATATGACCCCATACATAACCTTCCGAATATATGCCCTACCTTAATCTAGTAGTTTCCGTTTAGTTTTCCATTCTTCCTGAACCCTAAACCCTAAACCCTAAACCGCTATAGACTTCCAGAAGCCCTAACGCGCCAAACCTAGGCATCCATTTCAAGAGTACACCCCGAATTTGTGCAAGCTAAACCCCTATAAATCCCCATAATATAAGGGTTTAGAGCTTAGGGTACATAACCCTAGAACCCCTTGAAAAGGCCTCCATTTCCAGGAGGACTTCTGCCTCTGAAGAGTCGGCCTAGCTGCTCTCAAGCGCTGCTTGGGTTTAGGGTTTAGGGACTCTGTTTAAAGGGACTCTATGGCGGTCACATACATGAAGGGCTTATATAGGAATATTACCCCGAGAATGGGGAATGAAATGGAAAATCAGATGCAACATGACATGGAAGCCGCTATGCATAACAATGGAGCATACACGAACAAGAGCTCTATAGTAGTGTCGATTAATTTTTCCATTTTATCGTCCATGTGATGCTCCATTGTTGAGATAACACCCTCCCTACATATACCCCACTATAACATTCTAGTTTCCACTTTCTTTTCCATCATCCCTCTATAACCCTATGTACTCCCTATATAGCCCCTATATCGTCGCTACAGGTCCTGCCTCTTCAAGCAGGAAAGCCAACATCTCGACCTCGTTTTCGGCCTCGATGATCGCCCTCCCCAGTGGGCCCTCCGGACCTGTTCCAAAGACCAGTACGCGCGAGGGGCTGGCAACTGAGCAAAACAAAGAGTGGGTGTGTGTGTGTGCGTAGATATATAGTGGTTATACAGGAATTATAGGGGATTGCATAGGGATTCTATAGGGGTTGTATAGGGATAGTGGAAAAGAAAATGGACAGAATGGATACTTCAATGTGAGCTATAGTCTAAACTCCTAGTATCCCCTTGAGTAACCCCTATAGTAGTTCCCTATAGAATCCCCTATAAAACCCCCCATTAAGGAGTTTAGACCCTAAACCCTAAACCCTAAACCCTAAACCCTAAACCCTATAGTAGTCCCCTATATAACCCCCCCTTTAAGGAGTTTAGACTGTAGCTCATGTTATAATGGAACTCCAAGGAAGCTCCACGCTACTTGCTGGCCTTCGCGGATGGTGTCAGCCTGAATATGCCATTGATTTGCAAGACCCTTTATAGGGATGATAGGGTTATATAGGGGTTATATAGGGGTTATATAGGGATAATGGAAAATCAAATGGAAACTACTATAATGGAAAATGGAAACTACTATAGTATATTGGAGTTAATTTTGGGATAATGGAAAAGAAAATGGAAACTATAGGGATTAGATAGGTTTTTTTTTCTCGGAAAGGCTGGAAAGGCCTCCTCGCGGAGCTTCGCAGCTTTGAGCACAACCGTCACGAACTGACAGGGGCATGGGTCTGCACTGCACCTTCTTCCAGGCATCACCTGCGAAACAGAGATTCAGACCAGCAGCTGCCTTTTTCCGCCGGGCTGCTCGGCACACATACATGCCATCACCATCACATGCCTCCCACTGGTCTAACTTCGCCCTTCAATCGCCATGACCGTGCCCTCGACAATTCGTTGGGACTCGTCGCCGCTTGTCTGGTGCTTGCTGGAGAAGCTGTCACAAGCCACTGCTCACCTTGCGCGGCCCTCAAAGCATTGCTCGCTGCCGATGTCCACGAACGCACAGAAAACCTGACCCTCGGACTGCACGAATTTTTGATTGTTGCCCCCATGGCATTCGTAGAGACCCCAGGTGTTGACGTCCTGGATACCGCGTGCCACATGGGAGTTGGAACGAAGAAGGCAGCACAAAACAAACATTCAGCCGGGTCACATCATCAGACCAGGTATCTAGGCAGGCCATGGATTCGGCTTGCTTCAAGGAATCGTTCTCGAAGATGTAGAGGCCACAATCATCCTGCGCTAATGCGAATCCGCTGTGAATATTCAATATCATGACTACGGATGTTTTTCGTCGGCACCGTGTGACACTAGGGAGCTTTCTTGCTGGCATTCAAAATGCGGCTAATGGTGGACTCATTCATCTTGCATCAAGAACTGGAGGGAATGCATGTCACCGTGTCCTGCGACTCCACCCACTGCGCTTCAGTGTCGAGGCATTGGTTGCCACCCTTCTTGAAGAGCTTGATGCAGTTTCTTCCTTCGACGATAAGGTGGAAATAGAAACTCTAAAGCATTGGCTTCGGCATCCCGCCTGGCTCCAAGCATCGTTTCGGCATGTCTGAGGGAGCGTCCACATTGAGTTCTGCATTGAGGCGCGTGAAGACCTGCCGCACCCACAAGTCAAAGGAAACTGAAGAACACGTCCAAGCTCTGCAACAGTCACCTGAAAGGATTAGCAACACATACCACCCTGAACCATGCATTGTTGAAACATGTCATTGACTTTGCTGAGGAGGCGCAAGGGGTATCATGTTTGCCCAACCTCCGGATGTTCTTGCTGTGCTCTTCTGTACAGCTTGGTCTCCAGCGGAATTTGGGAACTCATCTTGCTGAACCTGCAAGGGCAGACCGGATCAGAAACAGGGGGCCTTCCCCACATGCCTCCGCCACAAGAGAACCCAGAATATGATGAAACCCAACAAGAGATCCCTGCTCTGAAGGTACAACCATGAAACCACGACCCCATTGTGCCACTTCATTATCCAAAGATTTTCCTGTATACTCCTCGATGTCATGGACGCGGCAAATTAAAGACCTAAGCGCCCACGACTTGACACATGTCAACTGATGGCCCAAACTGCAATGAGACTGCTAGTTGCAGTTCAGGAATCTGCCCAACTACTGTATAGGGTTTTTTGGAAAGTTCTACTTAAGCCCAGTTTTCATTCTAAAGTCCATTGTCCTTTCCATTTGATTCTCCATTATGGTGACGTAATTCAAATTCCTTAACACCAAAAATAAGCCCTACAACCAAGCCCAGCTTCCATTCCACTATGCATGTTCCTTGCCACTTGATTATTCATTACAATAACTTAATTTAGGTGCCTTAAAACCCTCTAGAGAAAACCGGTTCCATGTCGTTCTCCATGTTATTTCGGAAATGGTTCTCCTAAACCCTAAACTTTTCATAATCTCTATATAAGACTTATAGAGCCATGTCAGTGGTTTCCCAGATTTCCACAAGCTTCTTACATCTTGTTTTCCATTATCCTCTATGACCTAACATCCTTGAAGATATACTCCCTTAAAGGGACTAAGGGTTTCCATCTCATCTTCCATGTCCTTTTCCATTTGGTTCCGCATAGTCTGGGGTAAGATCCCTAAACCCTAAACCTTCAATAGTAGTTTTCTTTTCCATTATCCCTGTATGAGCCGTTGTCTGAACTCCTAGTAACCCCTTTGATATGCTCTATAATAGTCCCCTATATAATCTCTTACATAACCCCCCCTGAAAGAGTTCGGACTATGGCTCTCCTAAACCCTAAACCCTAAACAGTAGTAGTAGTAGTAGTAGTAGCAGCAGTAGTAGTAGTAGTAGTCGTAGCAGCAGTAGCAGTAGTAGTGGTAGTGGTAGTAGTAGTAGTAGTAGTAGCAGTAGCAGTAGCAGTAGCAGTAGCAGTAGCAGTAGTAGTGGTAGTAGTAGTGGTAGTAGTAGTAGTAGTAGTAGTGTATATATATATATCCCTTATATAACCCCCTGTTCCATTATCCCTAGAAAGTCCCCAAAATCCATGAAGAGTCTGGCCTCGAGCCTCCCTTGTTCCGGAAGGAGACACAGGGCGCCTGCTTCAACTAGTATTGTTATTATTACCACTAGGGCTTAGGGTTTAGGGTAGTGTTATTACTAAAATGATTGTTAATAATATCCTTGCTGCCATTGTTGCTATCATTATTGTGCTACTACTTTTATTGCTACTATTATTAGTGTTACTATCATTGTTACTATTGCAGTTACTATTACCACTATTGTTACAGTACCCTCTTTCTTCAAACGAACACAGCCTCACGGTCCACGGTTTAGGGTTCAGTGCTGAGGGTGTTTTTCCCGATGTAGGGCCAAATAGGGCCCGAAAAGAGCGCTGGCCTGAAAAGGAGCTACGAAGGACACTATAAATTAAGAAGAGGCCTGTGTGAGGGTTTCCAGGGTAATTAGTTTGGGGGGGGTTGAAGTAGCTATGAGTCCGGCATGCAGGGTGGTTGTATGTTCCAAGTGCAAGGCAAGAAATGGAATGTTGCAAAGAGATCAGAATACTGCAATGCTGATCTAACTTGGGTACTCACAATCCGACCACAATGTGCGTGAACCATATCTGCGCGCACATACGAATTAAGTAGAATACATGTTAGGGTGCGTTCAAGAATGATCTGGAAGCAACTCGAAGGACGAGCCGTTTCTGAGGTATCTTAATGAATGATCCAAAGCCATGTGAGGGTGCCGCGAGTTTGGTCTCCCTGTTCTAGTGTGGCACTGCAATGATGGATTCACTACACAAGCATGATGACAAAGCAGCAGCAGCCTCGTTCATCGAGAACCTCCCTGCCTCATTGTCCCAAATTCTCGGCGTTAGTTACGACTCATGTAAGCTGCAACAACAAGTCCTGTAGTTCTGTTTAGGGTCAGAGCACGGTACCACAGTTCATGAAGGAATCGGCAGGGATCAAAATGCAGTATGATGAGGAACTCTATCCCCAACCATTTGGCAAATATGTCCCGCGGATACTACGGAATTACAGTAAACATGCACTACGGTTTCTGATAGGCATGAAGCCTAAAGTCACCCCATTGGAGCCAGTACTAAAATTTTGCATGCCGTTTCCTGATTCCTGGACCCTGCAGGAAGCCATCCCAGAACCCACAAAACCCTGAACTGCAAACACGAATCCCCAGACCGTCCCTAGACCCTCACTCCACACCCCTTAATGTTTAGGATTCAGGTTAGAGTTTAGAGGTTGAACCCTAAGCCCCGATAAGGATGCCTGTCACAGAAATTCCCATGAAATCCTTGAGGGAGACCACTCTCCTCATAATCCGCCACCCGGGGTATCCCAAGTTGGAAAAATTCTATCAATAGGGGAATCCCAATTTAGCTAAACTAACACAATCCTTATTATGGGGGACAGCCCAAGAAAGGTACCCCTCATATTGGGAAACCCTGAACCCTAAAGGAGCTTCCATTTTTCCGTTACCCCTATATGACCCCAGTACACCCCTATAGAACCCTAAACCCTAAACCCGAATACACTATAGAAGTGTTCATGTTCTTTTTCGTTATCCCTAGATAGACCCTATTATAATATTAGTTTCCATTTTGTTTTTCCATGCTCCCTATATTCCCCACATATGTATACCCTAAAATCCCCATAACCCCTATAATTCCTGTAGTTTACATTTTCTTTTCCATTCTCCCTACAGAGTCTACTGACAAAAACGGCTCCACGCCGCCTCCCTCAAGCCCGGAGTCATGGTGTTGGCTGGTCCCAGGCAGGAGGCTCCCTTCTTCAGGAGGCCATCCTTAGTCAGGGAGCTCTGTGGAAATGTCAAGGTTTAGGCCCTTGGGGATTTACAGTTTAGGGGTTTAGGGTTTAGGGTTTGGGGTTTAGGGTTTAGGGGTTTAGGGTTTGGGGTTCAGGACTATTTTCTAATGGGACCGTTTGTCGAGGTTCAAAGTTTGGGGCTCAGAGTTTGAAGTTTAGCGTTTAGGGCTATTGCACCACGCAGATTGTCTTATCTTGAACAGCAGTTCTTGCCTGCATCAGGGACTACAGGCTTAGGAAGCTCTACATATGCTGAAGGATGCCGTTGGTGACCCTGGCCATGCCTTGGCATAAACAATCTCCGAACAAATAGGGATTACATATGGTTGATATAGTGTGATCTAGTGCTAGGGATTACATGGTGACAATACGACGCGGATCACTAATAGATACTCAAATAGAAAGTCAGAGAAAACGTAGGAAACTGAGTGGAAGCTACTGGGCCAAACTTATTGGGATTTTCGACTATGACGGGCAGTGATTGGCTTCTTCGCTAAGCCGAGTAATTGACGTTGATTAATGTTGCTTACCTCTTGTAGCCGTTAGAAACCAGGCCAGACAGATCCTTATTGCTCAGGACGGGTCCAGGGATCAATACAAAGTTAATGATTGCCCTGCACAGCATGGAGGTCCGGGAAGCACATTCCGTGATTCGGAAAGGATGTCAACAGTGGTTGCTGTACTCGATATCTACCCAACTATCCATCCAAATCGCCTGAACTGAATTCGGATGAAAAGCTGATCTAGTTTGATCTGAAACCTCCCCTGTACATACGAGAACACCATGGGCAGTCCCGTAGCCTCATTCCTCCAGCTGTCAACAAGGACTTGCAAAATTGCGTCCATGTGTTTCATTGCGAGACGAGCATCACTGGTCAAAGACCAAGCTTGTGTTGGGTTCGTTCCAGAAAGCTCGCCTTGGCAGGCGCCGGCTGTGTATGACATCCAGCATAACTTGACATTCAAAGTCCTGACAGATTAGAGTGCATATCAGGCACATATGCCGGTCACACCGCGTCCACCAGACTGGCCACCCTCGCGAGCAGCTGCGTGCAACGCTCTCTGGGTCGGAAGTTGCTGCAAAGTTATTAAGCGCCGCTAGGCTCATACTGTTGCTCTCTTCTTTCTCTTTCTGCCCTTCTGCGTTGTCCTCTTCTTTCGCTTCTGCTTCTTCTTCTTCCTCCTTGTCTTTCTCCTCCTCGCTTCCTTCCCTCCCAGCCTCCTCCCTTGCTCCCTCACTACCTCCCTCCCTCCCTGCAATCCTTCCCGCCCTTCCTTTCCTGCAACCCTCTCCCCCTCTTCTTGTTGTCTGCGGCATTGGGCAACCAAACTGGCTGATAGTGCAATTGCATGGAAGGTCCCGCTCAAGACGGGGGCGCACAACGAAGCAGCATATCAAGGCAGAGGCAGAGGAGTCCTGAAGGCATTGGTCTGTGTTCCAGGCTCGCAAACCACTGCAGCATTTCCTGAAAGGATGCGTGCTCACATGAAGCTATATGGCTGGTTGTCAAAATTATGGTCCCTTTTGGGGTACCCTAAATATTAGGTGCCGTATTATAATAGGGACCCGAAAGGGGACCATAATTTTGACAACCACCCATATATCTCACAAATCCTGTAAGAAGTCACTGTCATCCATGAATCAAGAGGGTGTGAGACAAGCTTGATTGTTAGGGAGACTGAGGAGCTGGCTTGGTCTTCCTTAGCACACAACATCAACAGCAGGAATTTCCCGAGGGGCCAGGTGAAGGATGCGCAATGCTTTCCAGGCGTCTTGTTGCGATTCCCCAAATGCCAGAAGAAGCGGTGGTTATTGGAATCGCAATTCTCAAGCCTGAAAACTGCACAAGCAACAAAGGCAGACTAAGTGGCCTCAGCAGAAACCAAACCCTTTCAAGCCGCTATACTTACTCCACCTCTGCCACTTGCAAAACCAGTAAACCATTTCAACGGGCAAGCAGGACACATTGCAGAACCCAGCAAAGCAGGGGCCTCACTCCCTCAGATCCAGATCCACTAGTCCCTGCTCCACCCATGAAACGTAGGCAAAGCCCACTTTGCTCCTCCGACACCACGGCCAAGAATCGGGTATGACAGGATCCGGTCCCCTACAAGGGTTTAGGGTTTAGGGGTTTCAACCATAGTGACTGCTTGGGGCGCAGTTCAACCTGCAGCAGTCCTCTCGGATCATGAAGATCTCTGGGGGAATGAGACCCGCATCTTCATAGACTACCTTGAAGCGCTTCAGGTACCACGCGAAGGGTCTGCAGCCGTTTAGCCGCTTTTTGACGTTGTTGAAGGTGGTCATGTCCTGAGAAAAGGCAGCATGAGAGCACTTTTCCCACTTTGCGCCGGCTTTGTAGCAACTCAGTGCCGCTCCCCAAACCAGTTGGGGCCACCAGAGCTCTTGCGATGCGCAAAGGTTGGATAATCGTCCAACTTGGCGCTAAACTCCTGCAGCCATGCGTTGATCGCCCTGGCACGGTGATGGTTGTGACTTGTGACCCTGAAGCACGCTGCTCGGCAAAATAGGGCATCGAAAAATCTCAAAGTTTCTTTCAGTCTTGTACTGACCCCAGCCTGGCACGGTTGTAGATTGTGTCGCCAACATGCCTGTAGCGGGCGCTCGTCTTTGCAGACCCAGTTCGCCACATATGCGCCACTTGGGAATTCGGAGCAGCAACAATCTCGCCACCGCACACCCACATACGCACACCTTGATCGATATTCTCGCCACCCCAGCCCAGCATCTTGTCGTCATATCCTCCACTTTCGTCCCACCAGTGGCGCGACATGCCAGCCAGGCCACCGGACAGCATCCCCATGTACATGTCGTCAGTTCCTGAGCTGCGGTGAGTTGCCTATGGACGTTCCCATACAGCTAAAAGCTCAAGGTGTGCACTGTGCTTTGTAGCACTCATTGAATGCTGCAATCGTTGCAGAATTCTTGAACGGATGAAGCATTGCTGTAGTGTGGCAAGATCAATACTACTTCCTGCTACCGTGCGGATATTATCTATGACTTTGCTTGGCTAACGAAATGCTGAGCACAGCAATTACCCTACCATCTCAAGACCCAGGGGCCGCCCCACTTGAAGTCGCCGTCCCACGTGAGATAGCATTTGGACATGCCGCCGCCACGGCCGATCTGGGTCCACGTGTCAATATCCTGGGCTGCTGTTATGGAACTTAATTTCAGTTACTATATTGGGGAAACCATATTAACTACTGCAAAATACCCGATGTGGCAACTTAATCCCTAAACGGTAACTTAGCTTAAGTTCCTCAACAGCAACCCAGTATCCAGTGCGGTAATCTGAGGTATGACCATCCGACGGTAGTTCTCGGCAATGAGCCGCATGAAGTCTTCATGCCATCGAGGTTGTGGACCTAAGTTGGAGTTTCAAAAATGGGGCTATATTGGGATGACATTAAGATTATATTAGGGTTATGTTGGGGTAATATTAGGGTAGATTAGGGTTAGATTAGGGAAATATTAGGGTTATATTGGGGGTTAACGACATGCTGATGGAACCCAGTGTTGGATTGGATCGTAGTTGGCCGTGTTCTAAGCTTGTCCGAAGTTTCTGTAAATACTTGACTGCGGCATTCGGTCCGATGGCAACCAGGAAGAAGTGCACATGGACAAGTAGCTTGCATTTAGGAGCTCTGTGCGGCCCATATTTGGTGTTCCCTGAGGCCTCTTTGCCCACCTCCCTCTCCT